CGGAAATCTTTTTCTATTTAGTTTGAAGTTAATATTCAACTTTAATTCAAATTGTATTATAATAAATTTAAAAAATGAGATTTTATTACTTACTTGCACAGATATTCTCCAAACATAGTTGATAAAAATTTTAAATTTTTAATCGCTTGTCAAATGAAAGCTATTTGTATCCGGATATTGGAATAAACAGCATCTCTCTTAACCTGGTCTCTAATATTAATCCATTAAAAGCGTGCAATTATCTTTTCTGCCATTTTGTATTTCCAAAAGAATGAACGTAGAGGGAACACACGCATAAGCGTGACGTAAATAGATATACGGATCCATTGCCTTCATCACTTCGGTTATCATCGAAAGCGGTTCGAACGATAAGCCATGGTAAACGAAAGGATAATCGACGCAAATTACGGCCCAGAATAGATCGGTAATACGCGGACGAACGGCAAAATCGATCGGCGGAGGCGTGTCTCCTCTTCCTCCTGCGTGATCGATCCTCGATCATTCGGGCCGCATTGTCGATCCCGCGCGGCGCGATCGGCATGCAGACCACGCAGCTAACCCGATCCCGAATTCATCGTGTCGACCTGGCCATTAGCAAATTACTACGGTGTAAACAGTATCGACGGTGCCCGCGGCGATCGGTGAATCGCGTATATGCGCGTGCACATCGCGAAAAGATGTAGAAAGGCAGCGGGCGGAGGTTCAGCCAGTTAGTTAGTAACCGGTGATTACGGCGACGTTTTACACTGGCTCTAGCCATCTAATAACCGTTTACATCAAAATGAATTTAGCGATCGGCAGCTGTTATCGTTTGCACCGCAACGATCTGGTAAGTCCGTTTTCCTCGGAGATGCATTTGGAAAATCATCACTTATTCTTTATTATGATAAAATTAATAAAATTGATAACATGCCGAGTAACCATGACATGCGGTCTTATCTAATGTGATCTTGAATAAATCATTTAAATGCAGAAAGAAGTCTAGGAAAATAAAATCGAACTTTATCAAATGAAATCATAAGATCCGTGAGAAGTAATTATCTTTTCTGGCTATTATGATTAATAGAAGAAAAAAAAAGCATTTTGTGAGACACATAATAATCCGAGAAGCCTATTATTCCATTACGTACTTTGGAACTTGCATTCGTCACAATTACGATATACGAGCGATATACATAGATACAGTTGAAATGTGTAATTTAAGCGTGTAGTTCGATACTTATTTAAGATTATCGCAAACTACGTAATAACATTCCTTATACGACGGGTACGTATACGACGTTCGTAAACTTGCTCCGACGTACCGCGATAAAAGCATAATTCCAAACATTAACGTCCGATTTCTAATACCATTCCTCAATCAGCCGCCGATAATAGCATGATTTTCCGGAAAATTTATGATCGCGATCAATGTATCAATGAAATTCCATGAGATCACCCCAAGTACCAACTCGGTATTCGTTCGGTGCTTTAACGGTTCCAGGAAATTGAAACGTGAAATTGATTGTATGATATCGTTTCACGGCATATCATTAAAATCCGTCCATCGCGCGTTTAGTTGCAATCGAGTTTAATGGCGATAGCGGTCGGCGTCTGTCCATGCACGTTCCCGTTATCACGCAGAATCGAGCGCCTGGTAGAAAAAAATCGTAATTTCTTATAACAATGACTTTTTTGACGTATTTGAAATCGTTTTCTCTCGGGAAAGGATTTTACGTATCTTTAACTATAAGAGCTACCAAAACACTGACTGACTTGTGGTTTTTTATCAAATTCATAACAATATATTTTCTAATAAATCTATAAGATATTCCATGACCTTCGTTGTAATATATAAATAATTAATTTACTTTCCTTCTTTATCTATATTTTTAAATATATTTAAATAACAGGAATAGATATAGGTTAATCGGTTCTAGTATTAAACTACGGAGTTAAAATCCCGTAAGAAAGTAAAATCTACGAAAGTTAAGTTTCAGTAAGTCTTTCGTATCATCTGTCGAGGATTCAATCCGTGTATTTTTATTTTAGAAAACCTAAAACGTTTTAAATTCGTTGCTGTACGTCAGGCTCGATCGGCGAGCCGATTTGTCGGCAGAATATTCGATTTATCGACCGATCGTTAGCGGACCTTCCTCAGAGCACGCTCGCGCGTTGTTACACGTCGGGATACGTTACTAATTAGCTGACGCCCGTTAATGGCCCGGGACTCCATTAAACTGTAAAATATTTAAATAACTCGTCGGCCGGGCGTGTCTGGCCGCGAATTACTCGCCGTAAGTCAATCCCAGGGAACTCCCCGAGTGCGGCCTTTCGAGAGAGAAGGAGCATTTAATGTATGTGCGAGTTAATGGGGTATTTTTCGGGAAGCTGACGAGCCCGTAAATTAATATCGCTATCCGACGCGCATCTCCTTGCGGCGTGATGGCGCGGGCATTGAGAATTAAACTCGTGTATTTTGGAGGTACTCGAAACTGTGGATGCACATAAGTAATTTGCCCATGTATTTAATTGTAATAACAAAACAATGGTTCTAAAAAGAACAAATATCCTAATGCTGTTTAATTCATTATTTTTCTTTATTATATTCACAAATGATATAAATATACAGCCACAAGGTGACTGTCTCTTAAATCGAATATAAAAATTTAAACTTATCAAACTTCACTCTTTGGTAATGGAAGGTTTGCTTAATAAAAAATGCGTTCTCTTTTATTGTAGTCATTTATTCATTGTAAAGAAAAGATAAGGAGGTAATATTAAGGTTAAGTACAATGCACGTGGGTGGTTCAGTTTCAGAAATAGAGAAAGCGGATTTTCGATCTCAAATTCGATTCTGATCATAATTCTATTATCGTAAAAGACGGAAGGACGTGAATTAATTCATTTTCTCGCACTCGATACATTGCCAGGCTTGATTATTACGTTTGCTGCTCGAATTTACGAGATCGATAATGTTCTAAGGATTTTAGATGGATCCTTGATGAAGAAATTTGAAATGAGAACGCCAGTGACAGAGAAAAGTAGCTGGACTGTCTCGGTACGGTTACGTATGCATGTCGTTTTGTACATTATGCAACCGGGACAGATGATTGCAAGGTCTTGTTAAAAATGACACGCAGATCGTTATACAGTTATTTACAAGGCGGCTTACGCGCTAAGTATGCTTATGCAGTCGTAAAATCTATAGCAATAGTGTAGAATATCTGAATTGTAAATAAAGTATATATAGATTTATATATATAATATATATAAATAGTATCTCTCTTTCTCTTCACATTGTCTAAACGTGTATATAACGTATCATGTAAAAGTAAATAAAACTACACGGTTTTGGGTTTCATGCGATCATCGATCAACGCTGTGTGAGGCTTTATTGCGATCGCGACGAAAAGGAGCGGAGATATATCCTGGGACAGCAATTCCTTAATTGTATCTTTCATAAAAAGCTCGCCTTTTTCTATTTCTTACTTTAGTTAATAGTCTCTAAAATTCCGACTTTCCGTCACGATGCCGATTAACCTCCAAATGGACGGACACTTTTCGATGATCTTTACATAAGGATCACTTTGGAATCGCGAATAATTACTATCGTCTTCTAGCCAAAAAAGAACGGTCTACGCGGCTTTTAATCAATCCTAGCAGATTCAAGAAACTACAAAAAAAATGCCTAATTATATATCGAGAAGCGTTATATATTATGTATACATTTATGTAAATTTACTGAGAAAATTTATTAAGTATAAACAAATTTTATAAAAATTATAAAATAAGACAGAGAGTAATCAAATATTCCTAAATCAATTCCTTTCAAAAAGAGAATTGTTCTGTAAATAAATTTCAAAATTTTATGCTCTAAATTTCATATTAAGTCAAAAAGTAAGGATTTATATAAAATCTACAAGTTGTAAATTTCTTAACATTAATCAGATACCATATTACAAATTGTATTCATATATTCGTTTATTGCTGATTTAATATTTATTACACTTATTTACATTATTTGCGAAAGAATGATCTTAACAGACTCCACCATCTTGCTATTCGGAATTTGATCCTGCTAGGATTAATATCCGTGTTTCGCGCATATTTAACGATCAGCGTCAAGATAATATCTCACATGTCTTACAATAAATTGATCGAGTAAGTAGCTTATAAAAGAAAAATTTCTTTTCGCACCAAAATGGTAATGCGTCTTGATAAATTTATCGTACAACATGTATGATACTAGTCTAAATAGAGGCTGTCGCGGTTATCGACTATGCGAACTAATTAAGAAACGTACCTCTCGGTGCATGCGAAACAGGTTCAAATGATGTACCACGCGATACACTTGCGCGAACAAATCGCTCGATTCGCGCAATTCTATTAATTCCCTCGCATATTGGAATACTGTAAACTATATACACATGCGGTGTACACATGAGTAACGGTAATTTTACTCTTCCTTGCTTTCGTTCACATTGTTCCGCATTTTTTTTGCTTCATGTTATGGAGCGATGTCATGGATAATACCTAATAAATGATAAACAAAAGGAGAAAATGGCACCGCAATAAATTTTTTTTCGTTAATTCATTACGTTTCCGAACTATTAATTTTAAAAAGAAGATTAGAAAGCATTCCACTTTTTTTATAAATTTTAAATTATTCTGATTGAATCGAATTATTTAATTATTTAATTTTTTAATTATTTAATTATTTAATTTAATACGATCAGCATAAAATCAAAAGAATTGCGATTAGAGGGATATATGCTGAATATTAAGATAACAACCGATTGGTATAGAATATAGATCAATAGAAAATATAACAATTTTAATTTCTATCTCGTAGAAAAATGATGTACAAATTGCGATTCTTGAGAATTTTGTTCAATCATTCACACTACCAATTTTCTCGAGATATTGTTTGCCGCGCAAAACGTATTGAAAGTGAACATATTAAAATCGTATCGTTCGACGATAGACTTTTTGATGGAAAACGGAACTTATCACATGCCTTTCACATTCCATCTCTCGATTTTAATGAATCTGTTTCCTTTAACAAACGTGCTAGCACTCACTACATACAATTCGTTTGCCACGAAACTCAATCACACATTTTTCTAAGTTCGTCGCGATTATATCAATAACGGACCGACCGACAACACTTGAATCACAGTCTGACCAATGTAGCGTTACATGATCTAAAATCGCCATATATATATAGTTGAATATCACATTCGCTGTATTTGCTGCGTGCAACATTCGATTAACTATTTTGATATTTTGTTGAGAGCCTGTGTCACACATTGGGCAAGCACTGATTTAAGTGTGTCTAATTGTAAGATCTTCGCGAGTTCACTCACTTGACTCAACCTGCCGGGCATTCCCCGTGTGGAAGAACGCTCGATTTCCCTATGACTGATCCGAACTGATTTAGGACAGACTCGCGCGCGTTGTCTGTCGCATCCGAACGACGGTGTTTCAACTTATGAGATCGCCATTCTTACGCAGCATCTCCAAATGCATCTCGTACTCGCGGGCCTTGTGTCTCAGCGAGGCGATGCTGTTCGTCCTTCTGTCGATGTCCAGTCCCACGCTACCCGTAGGCGAGCTCTGCGGTGAAGTGGCGGTCGGCGGTGGCGGGGGTGGCGGTGCCACCGGGGGATGCGACAGAGCGATCGCGGATGATGGTGGCAGGGGCGGGGGTGGCGAGCCGCGCATCAGTTTCGGCCGCTGCGCTGCCGATATGTTCGCCAGCAAATTCTGGAAGGAGGCGGACGTGTACGGCAGAGGCATGCCGGGCGGCAGCAGCGGTGGCGGGGCCCGATGATAGGGATGAGCGGCGTAACTACCGGGGAGGACCGGGCCGTGACCCAGTGGCGGATAGCGAAAGGCGTCGAAGGGCTTCCTGTGAGAGAAGTTGACCAGGTGGGCGAAGGGGTTCGGCAAGGTCGGCGCCACGACCGCCGACGGTGGTGGGTACGGAGTGTACGGATGCGCTTGGGGCCCGACCTTTTCCTGTTTACGCCACTTGGCCCGCCGGTTCTGGAACCAGACCTGGAACACATGATGAACGAGCGGTCTGATTAGGCGCCGTGTCGTTTCGTGGAAGGCTCTTAGGCCGCGACGATAACAGCGGAGCCCGGAAGGAATCTTTTTGCGTCTTTCGGAATCCTTCGCGTTACGCAACCGCGGCGCAGTCGATACTTTGAATAATAACAGTAGCATTAGTGATCATCAGCTGCGTATCTCCGGGCGCGATCCGATCATAACGAGACGAAGATTCCGCAATTTTTTCTTACCAATTCTTTTCGTAATAGAAAAGACTATATTATTTAATACTATTTAAATATAATATTACGTCATTTTCGATAATCAGAACATCCATTTTCGCTTTTTCTAATAATAATTTAACATTTATATTTAATATTTATACTCAATGACTTAATAATGTTTTATATAACAGTTATTTATTATGAGTTTTTAAATGCTACAATGTCGACTGTCTTCCTAATTATCGCAACGAATAATAGAAGTAAAGATTTAGATCCCGTTTAACAGTTTCAAGAAAGTCGTTCGTTCGATTCCGGGTCAGAAAAGTAATCGATAGGTACTTTCTTCCTTGGAAGTTGTTGATCCGCGAGAGTTCGAATTCCGGTTACAGTGACGCATTCTCCTCTTTTCAGGAAGGTAGAGAGCAGCGTATCATTACCGTCGATGCTCCAAAGAAACCGAACACTGCTGCGAGGCAGAGATCTCTGTCTCGTCCGCGCGTTTCCCTTCTACCTCTCTCTCTCTCTCTCTCTCTTTTTCCCTCTTCTCTCTGTCTGTCTCTACCTGAATTTTACGTTTCTCCTCGAAAATTAACAAAATATTGGCTGTCGTAAAACCGTTAGGTTAGCGATCCCTTGGCCCATTTTTTCGTTTCTGGCAACTCGAGATACTTGGAATCGGTATCGCTGCGTGTCAAAACTCGCAATGTATATGTTTTTATGAATAAAGCATTGGGAATGTGATACAAACATATGAAAATCACATTATTTAATGCTGTGCTTTAATACAATAAGAATTTCTTAGCTTTATGATTATCGCACAAATGGTGCAGCAATTTATACTCAATTGCAAATGTACTGTTGGCCATAAATAATATAAATAAGCGGAAATGAATAAGATTATACCTTATATCAATTATCGCGCATGATTATTTTAGCGCGATACGAAACTTCAGTTTCCCCTCTTTACAGAATCGCATAAAAATATAAGAAAGAAACTAAATAATTTTATTAAATATTTTTACAGATTTTGCTAGTCTCGATTATAAAAGATGACGAACAATATCGTTGCTCTGTTTTATACGATTTAAATACTTTGCGAACAAATCGGAATTTGTTGCCGACGTAAAATCCCAGAAGATCGACTTCTAATACTTGTAAATAGAAATTGGACAACGAATGCGAATCGCCATTCGTGATGCGCGTCCACCGGGTTCCAGCGCATTCCATTCCATTCCAACGCGAGGCTTCCTCGAAGAGACCCCGGAGCTCTAATCAGTTCAGCGGAAGTCCATTTCTCCTCGTTCGTTCGTCAATCCGTGTCCCTCGCCTCTTTTCCCTTTTTCCACCGCTTTTTCATGCCTCTATCGTATCCTATCTCTGGTTGTTGGGTCGATTTTATGCCGTGCGCGTCCCGACTGAACGCAAATAACGTATCGCCGATTTCGTTTTAATATCAGGTCGCGCAAGAGAAAGAAAAAGAAAGAGGGACAAGAGGAGACGTGTCTCGTGACTGATCGCAATGAGTGGGGTTTAGGACAACAACAATTCAACTTATCCAATCTTTCCGCGCGCGAGCACCTGCTGCGATTCTAGATTTTTGTATCATTGCCTTTTCGCGGTAAAGAACGGCCGCGAATTCCACAAGCGCGGCTCGTTACGTCGATTGTTCGAGTAGAACTTTTCGAGAAGCGGCCATCTATCCTGAAAGCTATCCGAGGTCTTTTATCGTTTCCGGTGAGGGGTAATGTTTCATGTTACCGCTTGAGAAGCGCGACTCTCGAGATACCTCCAGCGAGAATTCTCGTCAGGTAATCGTGCGAACGGTTCTCCGTCTTCTGCAAAGTTTCCTCGCTCTCTAATTGTCATTTCAACGACTTCTGGATTGAATTTCAATTCATCGTGTTCATTGCACGAATTCATTTTTCTAAAACTATTTGATACATTTTTTATAAATTATCTATTCGTCCTTTGATTATAGGTATTTCTTGTAATACTATTAATCATTCTAAAGATTACACACAAAATGTAAAATAAAATAATTAATATTATTCTTATTAGACCATTTTTTGCCAAACCAATAATTTTGATATATGTAAATTGTTTTCTATACATATTTTTGTATTTTATTTTTATATTTATCATCATTTTCGATCCTCCGACATTATTCTTTCACGTCAAAAAATGGAATAACGCGTCACATTGAAGGAGCATGGACGACGATACTGAAAATTAACGTCTCTTCTCTTCACCATCGGCTCTTAGGTCGCGTAATAATAAACGACACCTTGCATCACGACTCGCTTGTTTTTTCCGCACACGAGGAGAGATTCGCCTCGTTTTCCGTCGACGCAACGTGCGGTACTCGTGCCGAAGAGAACGACTGCGCGTTCCACATCGCCGCGGCTTCGGCACTCGGCAGCATCACGGATTTGAGAATCAAAAGTACCGCCGGGTGATGTAGACACTCCCAATACGGTTCGTCACGGTGCGGCCTCGTCATCGCGTGGACGAGAATAGACGTATGCTCGGATGACTTTGCGATTTGATGATCGACCTCGATCATTGGCTCACCGACGGTACGGCGGCGGCGACTGCGAGTTCCATGAGATCCATGAGATCCGTGGATCCTATCCCTCCTGGTAGCTCCACCATCGAGAAAATGATTTCGATCGATTTGCTCGATCTGAGATTCTATCCGTTCTGATATTCGAATCTGAGATCGCTCGCGCGATCGTATTTTGCTCAATAGAACAGGCGCTATGAAATAACAGGATTATTTGAGGTATTGTAAGCAAGCGATTGTAATTATGATTAAAAAACAGGTTTCAAAAGCCTTATCTTCATTCAACAGTCTTATCAAGTTTTACATTCACACATATTGATGTCCAGAGGTCGTTAATTGCCGCGTGTTAGCAGTAGAGACTGGTTTCTCTTAAAACATTAAGATTTATTTTTATTTTATATTATTTCAAATTCTCATTATAATTATATTTAATTATATTACGTGTGCATAATTAATAGAGTTTATAATGATTGGAACTAGACATCGTGTGCTTCCAGCAATATCATTTAAATCAATCACTCTCCGCCAAGAGAGCGAATTCTACGAGCGGTTAAAGCACGAGATTTACGATTGCGCAATAATCGATTACAATCCCCATGCTTATATTTCGATTTTTGTTGTTCGAGAAAGAGGCATCCAACCCGAATATACTGCGTTCCGCGTGTGTACCGGCCGCCCGCTTCGGAATCTCGCCTAGACATACGGGAGATTAGAGGGCTCCTGGCATCGTTAGGGTAGAGTGAGGAAGGGGGGTCGCGGGTGCCAGGACCCCCCACAGCGAACAGGATTGCCCCCAGCAGGGCGCTAAACATCTCCGACTCTCCGCTTTTAAAACAAAACGTAACCACATCGCCGCCGGAACCTACTCGTTTCGTGCTTAATCGTGCCGCATTAATTACACGAACGCCGAGTACGTTCGTTTCTTCTGCTTCTCCACTTCAATCCTTTCCTCTCTTTCTCTCTCTCGCTGAAGAAGATTTTCTCGCGCGCGCGTTCGACACATGTATAGATACTTCCTCGGGTGATTCGTTCTTTGAACCCCCCTTCAGACCGGCACGTATATAATCGTGTTTCTATTGAAGAACTCACATACAGCTGAGAACACACTCTTGAGACATGATTTAATAATAGATCCTTTAATAGATTCTGCGAGTCAATTTTATACTCGTTATACATATTTGTAATTCTAAGATTTAATTAAAGAACTCAGATGCAGTTTGTTTGAGATCGAGTTTAAGATATTCCTGAGTTTTGTTTTTCACTTTAATAATTGAGAAAAAAGTGTACGTATTTTTTATTATAGGTTTTGTGAATATTGTAATATTTTCCCGAAGATAATTTGAAAAGAAAACGATTACTTAGGTGAAATATCTGACTTGAGATCCAAGAATACATTTTTAAAACATTAAGATTAAGAAAATACTGTTGAATAAAATACTGTTCTTTATTATGACGTAATAAGATTAAATTTAATTTAATTTTTTTTATTGATTTATTAAAATCATACAATTTTATTTCTGTCTTATTGTTAAATAAAAATCTGGAAATAATAAATTAATATACACAAATACAGTTTCATAATTAAAATAGATATAAATTTTGTTCTTTAAATTTTAAATAATAGATTTACTAATTTTTTGAAATAAAATAATTAGGCGACCAATCATTTAAATTGTCATTAAAAGAAATAATTAAATAATAATTCACGTATAATAGTTATTGAAATTCGCTATTAGTATTTATATAAATATAACCAAATTAAAACAAATTCTATTATTAATCAAGATTCAAAAAATAATATATATTTTCCAAAATACTCTCTCAATCGAATGGATTGATCATTATTTTACGCGACGCTAATGATTCCGCAAAGCAAAATAACAACCATTAAGCAAAATATGTAAGAAATAGAATATATTAAACGTATATACATTTATTTCGTAGTACGTTACATATTTCAAGCTGCGACACATATATATACACACACACATATCAATCTGCGCGCTCGTTGTTTATTACGCGACACACTGCGCGTATACACAAGGTTACAGCTATACCGCTGTATCATTCGCGCTCCAAAATTCGAGCTGGTAAGCAGCAGCGAAAACTGCTTCGTGAGTGATTACGTTATTATCTCTCGAAACAACAATTGCGACGAGTACCGGGAGAAGACATGATCATTCCTTACACGCTTGTCAGTAACAAATAATATTCGCGCG